CAGTCCCCCCAGCCGGTCCCCCCATGTGGGTGGCAGAACTGCAAGGGCTTCGCCTGGCTCATCTACGGGCTCGGCCTTCACAACATCGTCTTCGATCTCGATCACAAGCGGTGCCGGGGTTGGGGCAAGCACAAGAGGCATGGCTGCCAAGGCTGTTGGGGCAAGTGCGGGTGCGCGTGCAGCTGACTCTGCTGGTGGGTCTGAGGTTGACCGGGCGTCGTCGTCGTCGTGGCCATCATCAACTGCATCATCGTCCACATCATCTGCCTGCGAAATGAATGGCATTTGCAGCGACCCAGTGTTTTGCTGACTCGTATATAGACAAGTAAATGTATACCCTGTGTGGGCTGTAGCACATCTCAATGCAAGCGAAACACCTCCTCGAGGGAACTGGCAGACGCGTGAATCCTCCTGGAATTCATGTAGTCCACCAGCTCCTGGATCAATGGGATGCCCGACTATATACTGCTTATGTGCACCAGATGCAAGCAAGAAAACATGTTTGGAAGTCAAACCTTAATACTGAGCAAGATGCTTGCATTTGTGGATCAAGAATCACGATGAGCTGCTGAAAAGTAGGATCCTCAAAGGCTCGCTTGAGCTTCGACATTACCTTAAGCTGGAAACATTGCACTCCCAAGCAAATAAGACAATTAATGACAATGATGTTAACATGTTTCGAAGGCTCTGTCGAAACCTCCCGCTTTCGAATCTTGAGCTTCAGGAAAGCAATGAATTTACGAACCGTCCAAGCTACTTTGTCGATCTGCTGGAAGGTCACCTCCTGCTTGCCCATCTCCATGACCGTTTTGACCTCCTCACGAAGGTCTTCCACTGCTGGGGAAGGCGAGACCTTGCCTTCCTCGATGGTATCAGAGACAGCAGCCATCATCTCACAGATAGGGCGGAGCACAGGTCCGTTAAGTGAGCCCGTCTTCACTAGAATCTTATCCTTCGTTTCAGGGTGAAGCAACGTACCCCCGTTACGAATGCGCCCCCTGATTTCAGGATCATTCTCCCAAGCATTGGCAAGACCAGACACGTCGACCACCAC